TAGAATTTTGACAGCTCAACCGTTCTATTGCACCTATCGGCTGACAGAACCGGGCAGCCTTAAGAAATCCAATGGGATAGTGCTAAAAACATGTACCTATTCCAATTATCAAGATAAAAAGGACATGGTGCAGCTTCATTTCATAACTATTCTTGCAACTGTTTAAGGCGATGATCCCAATCAACCTGTTGGCCCCAGAGTCGATTCTCCAGCTTCTCTCTTTTCAAAACCTCGCCGCCAGCTGTGTTATCCAACTGTCTTGTGGCTTAGAAGATTTTTTCTAGTGGAACATCTTTTTTGGCCTGACGATTCCCACACGGTATTAGCCTTCAGAGGCCGATGGCTCCACCATTTACGCGGAAAACAGCTCGCTGCCACACGAGAGCGTTTGTCAGTCGCATAAACAGTGGAGCCGTCGGTCAATTGCACTTAGCAACCTCATGAGTCACAAAAAAATTAAACCACTTAAATAAATGACTCAGTGGTTTGACCCAGAAAGAGAAGGCAACGGATGAATCTCAGAACTCAATCTCAGGTTCAGCTAATGAGTACAGTCACCGTGTTGTATTTTACTATCATGTGTTATATGATCAATGCGTTTCTGCGGAGGATTCTTCTTGTTCGCTGTGTGCGGGCGCTCCAACGGGGGGGGCGGGCAGCGTGGTTGCCGAAAATAGGTAGTAGAAGGTGATAGAAGAAGTAGAAGTTGCTTGGAGAGACATATTTAGGCACAACTTACACTGAATATTTATCAGTGGAGGGGCGCTTTCTCCTCTTCTCTTGAAAGCATCTGCAATCTCCTACAATACATGCGACCTCTTTCCTATATAACCACCAATTGGTTTAAAAACGTAAAAAAGCATCTGACACCTAGACAGCGCCCGATCAGACCACATTGCCCTGTGAGCAGGGGCTGTGAGGTCAGCCAGAACTCATCCTTCAGTCGCTCGGTGATTATTCAAACACCACGAATTTACAGTTCTTACATCAGAGCCCTAGGTGACAGAGCGATATTTCTGCCCCAATCTCAGGTCAGATTTGAACATCTCTGTGGGTAAGGGGTGCACCGAGAGAACAAAAAAGCAAAACTGGGTGGACGTTTAGTCATGTGAGTCAATGCAGACATCTGCGAGTCTCGCCGCCGCTGTTGTTAGTACCTTTCGTGCAAGCACTCTGGCCCTCACAGCGCTCTGAAAACATCAAAATACCATTGTTTTCTGGACCGGATAGTATGGCTGTTCTCTGCCGGGGACCGAAATCGCTATAAATCACCATGAAATTTGCCCAATTTCAATGGTGTTATTTTGTGGCGCGTGGCGACAAGTTGCTCAGCATCAGCTGACTCGTCCATCGCTGACCAGAGTTGCCTTCATAAACGACGGAACGGCGTTCACTTAAAGGTTCCGCAAGACCAGCATTTTGGGGATAAACAAACCCTCCAACAAAAGCATTAAACTCATTGATTCTTCCTATGGTATGTGGAGGAACAGGAAAAAGCGGGACAGTTTGACTTGGTGGGGACATTTTACTAGATCCTATCGACCACTGCCGATAGCTCCCATGGACACCATTCAAGTGAAGCTACATATGCAATAGCAGGAGCTTTGCTTACACTTAACAAGAGTCTGCACGTCTCATCAAGGTGTAACGTGTAATTTAACAGGAATTAACAAGAGGACTAGCGGAAGTGCAAAATGCCTCTTCCAAGCCGAACAGGGCTCGAGAACGCGTCAAGAAGTGAAAGGCAGGCAAAACCTTTTCAATCAGTGATCACATTTACGATAACTGGCGATAAGGCCCAAATGATAGGGTAACTGTTGGCAGGACGAGGGAACTTTACAGCTCTGCTCCAGCTATTTGAGGGCTTCTCCATCGAGAAAGCTGTCCCAGTGAGTTGAATGCTTCCAGCGCTTCCAATCAATAGTGAGGATACGCAGTGCATTCAACTGTACTGTGAAAACTCACCCAGCAATCCTATTGTCGCATAAATCAGGAAATGGCAATGTGGTCTCCCAAACGAGAGTTAAAGGTGGTTGAGGAGACGACTGGGTGAGAAGCCGACGTTATCGATTGTGGAGAGTAAGGCGAAACCGTAAACAAGAATGAAGCACCACAATAAAGAACGACCGGAATTGCTCACCAGTTAAGCAGTGCTTCCACAGTGAAGCACCACAATAAGAACCGAGCAATTGCTCATCCCAATTTAAGCGTGCTCCCACCAGTGAAACGGCTAAACTATGCCAGGACTAGGCACTCACCACTCGATTTACAACCCCAAAAGCGTATGGAAAACAAAAATGGGCGCAACACCGTTCACAAACGCTGTTCCGATCATGTTAATGACCCCGCGCCTCCTTTCCCAGAGAGGATGTGACCAAACCGACGAAGAAATGAAAAGGACTCAGCTGGTGAAGCCAGCTAGCTATCTTAAGCGACTCTTAACAATGGCTGGGCAGTCAGACAGCCCATTCACGTTGAAAAGCTGTGACATCACACCAAGCTCTCAGCGATGCATCTGATAGGGTGTGATGTCGTCGTTGGGTTTCACTTTCATCAACAGCTAGGCTAAAAATTCTAAAACTTGTTACGAGTACGCATAATTAACGGAATCTGGTAGGGTAGAATTACTTTCGCTAAAGCTTCTTAAGGGCAGAAATCATTGCAACTGATAACGTTTGTAATCCCCTTGTTTAGTACCATACTGGCGCCATCACGCCTTTTTCCTCCAAATTTGTCAAGAATTCGCGTCTAAGGGGATTACTGAGTTCTGAACTCTTACTATCACACACATCTTCGTTTGCCTTCATGGGCGCCTGTGCTAAAATGAATGTCACATAGGCGATAAAGTAGCGGAGGGTAGTGGAAATACCTCTGCTAGACTTCAGTCCGCCAAACCTCAAGGACCCCAGCAAGTTGCCGCACATCTTTTATTTACATGATTTTAGTCGATCCCGCTACGACTTCAATCCACTGTAGCCCCTCCCCCATTATACCTATCACTTTCCCTTCCTGCCACATTTTCCAGTTTTTCCTGAACGCACCAAAGATTTTCCTACTTCTTCCTCAAAATTTCGAGGGTGCATCATACGTGAAACGAAAAAAAACCTGAAATGTCAACAACAGGGGTAAATTTTTTCCCAACGCCGCAAATTTCTCTCAGAATGCAAAGCAAATGTGACCCACCTCTCAATAACGACAAATAGGCCCCTTGAAACAAGAAAAATCAGAGGCAAAAGAAAGGTTTCTCAGAACAAGTACGACCCCTCCCTCCAGCGACTAATGAGGAATCCCAAACGATGATGTGCCCTGACCCCAGCAATGGAGAATGGAGTGACCGACAAGAAGAAATGTATACGAATTCATCCGAGGAATCAAAAATCCAAAAAAAACCAGATAAGTGGTGGGTAGCCCCTTGTGGAGCGCAGTTGACCGATATGTACCTATTCTCTTTCGCGGATTACCCAGGTTGCACAATGCTCCAATTCTCGAATGACGAGGTCGTCGTACACTTTTTCGGCTTACGGGGGCATTAACTTGTATTTAGCTAAGTTTGCACAGGCTACCTCGTGAAGATCATAGATTCCGCTGACCAGTGGCTCATTAACATCAGTCAAGTGCAAAATGCCCCTGCCAAGTGGAGGCCCGGAAAACGTCTCTATTTCATATGGAACAAAAATGTGCCTATTAAGCTGCGCCTACACTCGGCAAACTTGCAGCCAGCTGCGATACTAGCCTGCTCGTTGCAGTAATGAGTTCGTCGCGCCTAGCAAGCGCAGCTGCCGCGCTGAAGTCTTCCTTTCCTCCACTTATCCATGTTTTCTTTGAGACTGCAGCTAGGACGCCCGAGTGTTTTTGACGGGAAACGAACAACGTCGCGGTCAGGCAAGACAACTCGTCGTGCGGCGTCGCTCACCGCACCTAACGTGCAGCACATTACGCTTGTTTTATGACGAACGCGACGAAGACGGACAAGACAATCGTGGTTTGTCGCGTCATCGTGCGCGTCGTATCGTGCGACAACTTCTCGATGTTCATCGGTTGTCGACTGGAGCAGCGAAGTTCAAATGAAGTCAGAAAATGAATCTGGTTCATCAGGCAAGAGAATCGTAATTCGCCGCGCCAGTAAGCGCCACGAACGACTTAGATTCCACGAATTCCGCTTAGACGTCGTCACTTGCGGGCGACGTCGCGCTCGCTAATGACGACGATTTTAGGTGGTATTGGTCGAGAATAGACAATGTATGACCAAAAATAGACATAAATGTCTACCATGTCCTTGTCTACATGAAATCCGATGCTCCAGTCGAAAGGATTTAAGTTGCCGCTTCTTCGCGCGCCCCTTGCCGCGCGAAAAAGCGGCAACTTACGGTCCTCTTGCCCACTTACGGTCTTGGTGTCTACCAACTCAGACGAGAGAAGACCCATGACAGGGAATATCAAAATTTTCCGTTTCTTCAACCTTCTAATTCAAACGGTCCGGCACGAGAACTCGTCCAGAGAACGCAGTGTCGCTCGTCACGCCCATCAGGCGGTATATTAGGATTGTCTTGTCACATAAGCTTCTTTGACTATGCAAACGGTGACTAGTTTGCTAGGAATAGACGCTCACTCGAACACTGCTAATAATGCGCTTACCATACAACACTCACCGAAATTTCATTTCATCGAAGTCACACTAGTAAGTCACTAGAATCGGCGCTTCGCAACGGCTCGCGTACATGACCTTCTCTCTTCTGGACTGCAACCATTTTAGTCTGAAAACTGTGCCACCGATTTCCACATTTTCATAAACCAGTTAATGTTTAAAAGTTAACAGCGCTGAAATGCCAGGTAAGCGAAAGGACTCGCAAAACTATAATGTTAAAATTGCCATGTAAAAATATTCTAAATATTTATTTCGAATCAAATATCCTACATCATATACAATATGAAACATAGAAGAAGACACGTGCACGGAAAAAGACAGAGTTAAAGAGCACAATTGCTCGAGAGCACTGCGCTTAGATCATCATTCCCATACCCATCATGGGATGTGGCGCCACTGGCCGTGCTCCTTCTGCAGCTTCAGCGAAACGATATCGAAGAGCGAATCGAGCCAATTCGTCAGCTAATCGATCGGGACTGTCCTCTTGCACTGCCATGGCCCACTTTGAAGAATCGTATTTTGGAATTTGCCTTGCATTTGGGCTATCTGAAATGTGGGATACCTCAACTAGGAGCGACCAACCTTCAGAGTAGAGTAATGGACAGAAAAACTGCTGACCGTAAGTGACCTTATCGAGAGTCGATCATACAACCGCAGCGCACGTTTACTAGCATTTGGTTAGCACACGAGAGAAATTTGGCCGACAAGCCTTGGAACCAACCAACCCAATACGGTTCCGTATCCATCAAATCAATACGCCATACATACTGGAATAAATGTTTTGTTTGCGCTGGTGATTTGATTCGTGCGTAAGAGCGTCGACCTTTCCAATCCTCAGTCTTTTTGATTTGTGCAGGCATCGAGATCTTGGCAGCCTCTCGATTCCTAGTGGCACCTGACTGGAGGCACCACGTGATAGCTTTCTCTTCAGACTCAAAACTGCTCGGACGTCCGCGCAGGAATGTTCGCTGGAAAGTGAAATCGGTTGGTTAGCAAGCAATGATGGGAAGCAACGATGGGTTGGTGCCCGTGTATTGCAGAAAACTAGTAAACGGGGAAGTTCGCATTTGCTGAAAGGGCGCCTGCTCCCGCAAATCTCATTGTTCCTTTCAGAGAGCTAAATGACTCAAATCGAGGCAGTGCGGTATGCTACCGTTATGGTGATAACGTCTTGATCAGTCGAGGCGCTGTCAGAGGTGGGGGGGGGGTTGGTTCAGCGCGCAAAAAGCTGCTGCGATAAACCGTTCGACCAAAACCTTACATGATTTAAAATGTTAAGTGCAATTGCAGTATCCGAGACAACCACGAAGTTACAGCGCTCATACGTGGCGTGAATGACCTAGCGAAAAGTCGATGAATTGCCCCACAGCCATATAAAGAGCTAACAGGCGCCTTTGGGGTCAAACAGTAGCCTCAGTTCCGATACTAACTAATGTCAAAAACTTTCCAGCCGCTTCTTCGACAAATTAAAAGATTACAAAAAGGAACTCAAAAAGCACAGCGATTGAAAACAAAAATAGGAAAATCTCATAACACCCACCATTCCCGCGAGAGCATCCATAGCTGAACCTTCCACAACGTCGATGACCACTAAACCGACCACATTTGGAATTTCATCTGTGGCAACGACGTGTACGCCAGTGCGCCACCATACTGAGCGGTCTTCGCCCTCCGCCTTGGCTCGCCCTAGCGAACCTGTTTTTCCGCCCTATCCGCTCCGACACTCCCGTTTTTTTTGGATCGTTTTCTTGGGGTGAGGTTTTTGCGTGGGGTTTATCTATGCAGTGTAGTGTAATTCCGGATGATTAGACTAACTTTTTCAGTAGTTTAATCTATCGCCGTCTTTGGCGTATTAATCCAATGTGGTAAGAAAAGTTAGGTCTTCTCGGGGTCGCCAGTAGCGAAACCGTAAGGAACAGGGAGGTGCGAAGCTTTTCCCTGAGTCTTGTAGAATGGCGCGTAAGGGATGGAGCATAGGTCGTTATCGGAAATGGACAGAATGTGTGAATATATAGGTTTACAGTATAGTAGAATCTGTGGCCGTGCAATAGAGGCTTGACACCTGTAAGCTATCTATCTATACAAACTATGATCTGTCGTCGTATATGTCGTATCTGTACGCGTGTGTCAACACCCTATTAATTCCTGTCATCTTGTTTCCTTGTCATCCCTTAGAATCTTAGTATAAACTTGTTGTTTAATCACTAATTATTATCTTAAACAAATTATTTGAGAAACCTGCTTCCCAGTATCTTGTTATCTCTATATCTTTTGAGCAGGGGTCTATGTTTTTTTTTTTGTTTTTTTTAATCTTATCTAGGACTTTATCTGAGATAGCTGATTTATTTATATTATATTAAAAAAAACCGAGACACACACATTGGAAAAAGCTCACAGGTGTATCTCCCTTCTCCCTAGTTATTAGAATGCTCCTCAAATGGGACTCGACCGATTCCCACTCTCCAAATTTGAATCCTTCCAACGCACTACTCAATATTTTGACGTGCACTTTCCTATTCTTCCGGATCTCTACTTTTCCCGAATTCGCGATATTGACACCACGCTTTGCGCCCCCCCCCCCCTACCGCGCGAGGTTCTATAACTGCCAGCAACAGTACAAGCCATACAGCTCATTAATTTGACTTGCGATTATCCAAATTACAATCTATATAGTTATCTATCCAGAACAAATGAACCACGAGTACTTCTAAACGCCCACTAATTGACGAGCATGGATTGGAAAAATACTAGAAGATAAGAAAGAAATGGAGAAAACAAAAGGAACCAAGTGTGTAAGTTGTAGATTGCGTACCTGTGACCAACAACACACACAAGAGGTGGATCCTCTTGACATTCGGCGCCGAAGACTGCATTATAAATTGCGATAATATCTCTGAAAATAGATAAATAGATTAACGATTTCTTAATAAAAAAAGTATACAACAATCACATCAATTACACCAAAGACAATTTTCTGGTCGGGAAAAAGTGAACTGCACCTTGTCTGTCGCTCAACTGAAAGATCTTTCTCGTCTTCGTAATGCGTTGCCCGTTGTCCGCTGAGATCGGCGCCACTAGACAGTCTGCATGGATACGACTCGGCTAAGTTCAGCCATGAATATATCCAACATGACACAAAATGAGGACCAAGTTTGTCTCTCTCGAGTGGAACATCCCCTTGGCCGATTATTTTTCCTAGAAACATGGTCGAGAGCCAACCTACATTCAAAGATAATTAGTCACCTATTACCGTCGTTGCACACAAGGTTGCCTGCCAGGTTTTCGACCTCAAGATTTCAAAGTGCTCTTATCTGGGCTCAGCTTACAAGCTTCACTGGCCACAACAAGCTTCGCTCGTCGCCTTCAGGACCAACCACACACATCCTTGCCTTTAACCCTGAGCCCAACTCTGACACGGTTCCTGGCCTTGTTTTAATACGCGATGGAAGAAAATCAACTTGGCACAATCCCGCGAACGGCGCTGTTTGTCCGTGATAGTTTTCGACCAATGAAAACATCAAAGAATCACTCCAAAACAATAACCGATTTCGAGGCTTCTAATCGCGATGTATTTGAGAACCGCGACCTCTGCGCAACGACAATTTGTGAATGCGTGCAGCCCAAATTGCCACGAATACTAAACAGTCCACGAGAAATACAACACTGGAAGGTTGGCGCCCCTTAGACCAAAAACCTTAAGAGCTCCTCGCCAATATTCTCGTGGTCACAGTTTCTCACCCCACGCTTATGTAGAGAAAAAAACCACGAGAATGACATCAAAAACCATGGAACGCGCCATGCATCAAAGAAACATGACCAGAAGTTGTCAACCAGCCCACATACCTTAAAAGCCTCTCACCGCAAGACATGCCCATGTCAATCCAGAGTATCCGCCGCCATGAAGGAAATAAAATACTGGTCCAGTATTACCCTAAAAAAACTTTCATTATAAAAAATCAGAGATTGCAAGACCGAAGCTTTCCGAGCTGCAGTCTTAACTGATGCGTTATGTACATGGATTCCAATAAAATGAAATTCTAATCATTTAATTCTAAGCGATGAACCAGTTTTTGTGCAGATTAGCTTGGTAGGGCAATAATGGTACCCAGAAGACCTTGCGGTTAAGGGCTAGGTTAAAGACAGCTGCCGCGATAAAAGTGTCATGGATAGTTGACGTTCAATTATGAAACAGTAGCTGATAAGTAATTCCCCAAAGAAGAAAAAAAGCAAGAAGAGTCCTCAAGAACACCATAAACAAAATCGCTCCCTGACAGTCACACCTCCCTGCGGTCTCTGTGCAACCCCTGGCTCACAAATCTCTCTATCACATCTCGCAGTAGTTGATATCATCCAGTGCAAAAAAAGAATACAAAAAAACAACAAAAACGCAGAGGAGAAACTCTTGAAAAGGAACTTTCAAAAACCCGGCGTCTGAATTTACGGTAGCGTGCATCTTTTAGTGTAGTGTAGTGCGTCGAGCTTTTGCACCACGAAAATTGGGTCGCTCGTGATTTTTACGCGTTTTACCTTGCGAGATGGGTTGGAGTTGACTGTATGTGCTCCTAATGAATAAAATGTAATAAAGGAGAGCAGAATCATTCATGGGCACGAGCGCGGTCAGCAAAAAGGACATGCAATTCCGATTAATGCCCGCCGCCCCAACAAAGAACAACTGAGCGGCCCTCCGTCAGAGGGCATCTAGCAAGTGGGCAGTCCAACTGGGCGGGCTTTAGAACT